GAAACATTCATTCAACTATGTGGACAAATGGATTCATAGTACTCTGTGTGTCTCCATACCTTCTATTACAGACCACTTTAGCCTTTAACAGATGAACATTGCTCTCTATTTACCTCAACACTTTAGGATCTCTTGCCAATACAACCCTAATATGCTGAGCCCATCTTCAGAGGATCAGAGCAAACAGATGGCAGCAAGCTGATAGTTGTTGTGGCACAAACAAACAGACACATCCAGCTGCTAGTTTCTCCAGGCTCTGAGTTATAGTAAGCATTGGTGAAGAATCCAGGACAAAGAAAAATACAGTATAAGAAATGTTACCAACCTGGAAGCTGGGCTACCTGAGGAAGGTCTATTGTGCCCCTTCTGGCCCTGAGTGGAATAACAACAATCTCATAATGCTTTCTATAATCTGCTAATATGTATTACTACTTCAAATCAAACCAAGAGTAATAGTATTCCAAATGATGTTGTACTTTTTGAGTTTATGTGCCCATCAAAAAATTATGATTTACCAAATGAAAAATATCTTGTCTTACCAGGTATAGTTTTCCATTAGCTGCATGGACCTCTGCCTGTTTTTTGCAGTACATTTTCCAGATGTCTTCATCAAAACCATAGTTAAAGTAATCTGTGATGTCAGCACCTAAAATAAAATAATTAAAAATGAATGAAGACTACAAAAAGTTAAAGAACAATGTCGAAAGAATAACAGGCTCAGAGTACAGCATTACTTACCAGATAACCTCCATGGCCTTTCTGCTGAAGACTCAGTGTCTCCATTCAGTGCTGGGATTTCCTCAAAATAGTTCAACTCTTCCAGGTATAGCGCCCTTGTGTCATTATAAGCTGTAAAACATTTGACAGGGTTCAACTCTCTGAAACAAATAGGGCTACTTGACTTATTTTCACAACAACAACAAAATCAGTCAAGAGAGCTGATGTGAAATGAAGCCGAAATAATCGGTAAAGAGAGTTACCAAATAATGTAGGAAAAAGCAGACGTTCACCTAAGTGAAATATTTCCTGAGTCTTCTGACCAGTCAACTCTCTGTTTCAACATCTATATTGAACTGAGACTTAGATTTTTTATTTAAGAATGAATTGGAAAAAATTGTGATATGGTCTGTTTTGTGTCTCATTGTATTTTGAGCCATCCCTAAAGCTACCTACCTGTACTTACCAACGGTATGAGGTGCACTGCGTTCAGCATCAGTTTTCAGAGGAACAGGTATATCCCCAGAGCTGAAAGCAAAGAGCCAGCACGTCATCATCATGATTATCGCCATCAACGTGACATTAACTTGAGAAACACTGTTGTCTGGGTTGAGTGCTAATAACCCAATCCGAAATGGCACCTCCTGAAACAAGACTAATATATCACAAAAAAACAATGAAACTATCTCAAAGCTACATTTTGACAGAAGTGGGTTCCTGACTAATGATGCACATTCATATTATACCCAACAGGCAAACAAAAGCAATAAAAGGCGGAAACATTTTACATTATTTTGTCAGAAGATGGAAAGTAGACAATAACACTCTCATATGCATTGCTGCTCGGCTACAGAGAAATCCTGGCATTCATCAGCACTGTCATTGTCACTTTCTTCATCATCGTGGACAGCTTTCCAAAGTCCCCATGACACAAAAGAAACAGATGAAAATAATAATCAAATCCACTTGCATATCAAAACAGTTTATTTGACAGTCGCTGTGAAAAAAACAAATAAATAATGCGTTCAATAGATTATAATGAGAGCTAGAGATAAAGTTATATGGTGAATATAGCTATTTTTATCTTTAGAGTGTTTCACACAGGCTACTTCAGTTAAGACCTTGAGACGAGTCACCCCTTTAAACCAATATATACATGGCTATTGTTCAGTTGGAGAAGGCTAATAGTGACTTGATATTATCTTAGTTTTTAAGACACTATTATCCAGAACTATTAAAGTTTTGTTGGGATTCATGGTGGGTTATTCTAGCCCTAGTGCAACCAAGCTTTAAGTGAACCAAAAATAAAATACCATAGACTGTTATCCTTTGAATATCTTACACATTCACTTCAAGCCACAAAAAAAAGAAGAAATACCTGAACTCACAAAAAACCCAGAAATATTGTTTGAACTTCGTAAGTAGAAACGTAGTGTAATTGCAAGGTTATGCCAAATTTACTAAGGCAAATAGGCTGAAGAATGCAGACCAAAGATATCATCTGTGCTCCAGTTGTGTGATTGCTTACATCCACATTCCCAGCTCACAAATAAACACTACTGGCCTGGCAGCAGATGTAATGAGCATCAAAATACTTCTTAATGTTGCACATGACTGGCTGCACATTTCTGGGAGCAGACATGGGGCCATCACACACATTTTGTGCAACTATAATGATCACTGTCATTATTGTACTGTGAGAAGTGTATAATAACTGAATGCTTCATTGCTGTAATGCAGTTGGTTCTAATTGGAACGCCCGCCAGCAGAGTTCACTCAGCTAACTGTCGATAATGGCCTGTCTAACCTGTGTGGTTTAAACTTCTTAATTATTTTATTAATCTTAAAAGTTCAATATAAGGTCAGTAAGTTATGTATCACAAAATGTACTGCATGCCTAAATCAAACTATTATTTGATCATGTTCTAATGCTGCATATGTAAAAGGTTTTAACGTCTGGCCTGATGTACAATTCTTGTTGTGTTTTAAATTGCTGCACCTGGTGCATGAAAAGTGTTATAAAAATAAAGCTTATTATAATTATTAAAGTAAGAAAAAATAAAATACTGGCATTAAAATATTAAGAAAGTAATACTCCATTCTGGAATAAAATATATTATTTGGGATTGTAATAATTTGATTGTAATCATGTTTGCATTAATGTACACAACTTTAATGTTGAACCAAATGGTTCAGATTGATCTAACATATTAAATTAAACTATTAATCTGAATCTGCAAATAGCAATTAGGCTTACTGAAGTTGTCAAAGAGTGGAGGGAAACGTACATTTCCATCTAAAATGTAGTTCAATAAAAGTAAAAAAGGATCAGTAGCCTAAATGGAAATACTAAAGTAAAGTATACCCTCAAAATAATAGGCTACTTGAGTAAATCTAATTAATGAGCCTACTTTCCAAATACAGTAGGCTATAATAACAAATACATTGCGCATACAGTTTAATCACCTGCATACGATTTGAACGTCCTCTTTTCCCTCCTTGTCATTTGCGGGGATCAGGTCATAAATCACTGAAACACACGCAAACACATGACACAATTAATGTCAAAGTCATTGGCCTGATTTGACACTTAAACTTGTTTTAAAGTTTTACCGATCCACATATACACATAAACGGCCATCACGATCTCTTTTGCTAATCAGAAATATTGTTTGTGTCGGCAGTAGCAGTTGCTTTGTGTAAACGTAATCTTACATTGGTATATCTTTCCCTCTTCGTCTTCGCTGACAGGGCTGTCGGTGGACTCCAACTCCGATGAAGACATTTCTGATATGAACAGGTATATTTAAACAAATAAACACCAGAATTTAAATTAAAAAAGTAACTAGTTGTGCACTTTGAAAACGGGAATGTTCGATAATCAGTAAGTGCAGAAAAACGGAGAGTTGCCATGGACACAATTAAGAGAGAATCCAGCCTTGCGATTGGTCACAACAGGTCTTGCATCATGTTGACCAACTGCAATTAGCCTAGCTGTTTTAACCGTTGATATCAGAGACATATTGTTTTAAGGATATAAGTGTAGCCTACTTTATTTTATCCTTTATTTACTTCCAGTCATTGAAATGTCGTTGTAAATTGCAGTTTTTCTAGAGTGTCATTTTAATGAGGGAGCAGTAGAGACAGATCAACACTTTACTGTACACTTTCCCAATTATTTACAACAGCGTGGAGAAAATAAAGTATAGCATTGTGCTAAATACTTGCTTCTCTTACTGCCACAACGAAAGCGAAAGTCAGTAACCTAACAAAGATACACTATTGTACTTACTGTAATGGAAACTTCAGGAGCATGGAGTCGAAACACAATGAGACACGGGAAAGCTGGAACTTGATGTCAAACACTGAAGATTTATTTGAAGTTACTGCAAATTGACAAAGACATTTGCTGCAGCCACAAGGTGACAGAGCGCTTGCCTAACCCATTCTGAAGATCTCTCACCCAGTCCCATGTATTTAGCTGGTACTGAGAGAATAATCAACATTCAGCAAAACAAGATAACACTGGCATGAATAATGAGACATAACACAGAGAGCAAAGCACTCCAAGGTCGCATGCCTGTTCTCACAGAAAGTGATAAACTGTGTCAAAGGTATGGGCCCAGGAAATATTTTCCTCAACACTTTATTTCTATATTTTTCCTACCACACCCCTTTTAAAAAAAAATAATGTTGTTATTTATAGAATACAATAGCTGTAGCCTATATTATGACATCTCTTTTTTTAACATTTCTTTATTTTGTTAGCAGTAGCCTATATTTATTTGTTTATTTATATAAATTATCTTGTATTTCCCCCAGTTTACGATCTTGTAAATTATGTCGAATTGTTTGTCATTTAAACCACTTATTTCATTATCTATTGTAGTTTGTAATTCTAATGTTGCGTTCCTTTTATTTATTGTTTTTCATAAAAGTGCTTTGGCTTTACAAGTCGGATTAATCGATAACAAGCTTTGACAGTAGCTTTTGACGTGAGAAGCATTCGCTGGGTGCTTGTTATTGCTAATAAATTGTAAATAAGCCATCTGTATGTCAAATATGTCTTATATGTCTTAAATGACATGATGAATTGGAAATGGGGGACCCTGATGTAAACAAGACGAAAGTCATTCTCTGGTCTGCATCCCCTTAACAAGTGTATGTTTTGAGCTGTACTGTACTGTACCCAATATACAAGCTGTTAATAAACTTTTAAATCAATCAATCAATCTATAGCAACGACTCAGAGCTTCAGTGACGTATTTATTCTGCGACGCGCTATTGCCACGTCAACTTCAAGAGACTCGTGTGTTTGTTTTGTTGTTGGTGCAACTTTAGCTGCCATTTCTGATGCGTATTTGAATTCGTAGCATTTCAGCTAACACTGATAATTAGCCAAAATGCTGACGACGGAGGACTACACGCACTTCCCGGTCCAGATGTGGGAGAGGGTGCTGTCCAAGGTGAAGAAAGCGGTTGTTTTTATGGATGACAAGTGTGCAGAGTCTCTCCACTGGTGCGGAGGTGCTGCCGTCTTACTAGATGCTGGAGCCCGAAATTTAAAGCAGTTTTCAAGCTTCGAAGCCTGTGGGGTGAACGAACCGAAAGCTGTGTTTGTGGTGAGCACGTTGTTAAAGGGAACAACGGTGGAGATCATTAAAGACATCATCTCCCTCAGTCACTTCCAGTACTGTGTTGTCATCACCACTGTTGCTCACTCCGTGCACCTGCTAGCCAACAATGTCACCACAGAAATGGAAGGCAGCCCTGTGTTTGAGCAGTTTGAAGAAAAGCTGTGCGAGTGGATGGGAAACATGAACTACACAGCGGAAGTCATGCACGTCCCAGTGGTGTTCGCCCCGGTGTCCCAGCAGCTACTCCTCACGCCCATGTTTGCACACCTGTTTCCCCTGCTCCCACCTGATCTGGAGTCAATAAATGCAAAACGTCCAGAGAAGAAGAAGTTTGGAAGCTTGCTCGACGTGGACATGAACTCTCTTCCTGTTGAACTGCAGTTTGAAATCAAATCCCTGGCTTCGGTGTTAAACTCAGTGTTTGAAGCTACAGGCACCAGAGAAGAGAGTTTCGCTGTGGGTCCCATGAGCCGCATAATAGCAGGGGAACTGGCCAATCACCCTCAAGCAAAGAACCGAAGGAAGGCGGCCCCTAATAAAGCCTCCATCATTTTTGTGGACAGAACAATGGATATTACAGGTGAAAACTGCAATAAAATTGCCCAGTATCGTGGATACATACAGTATATGGATGTTTACATGGCTAACAACTGTTAATAGCACAGTATAGAAATACACACAAATAACACACCTTGCTGAAAGAAGTACTCAGATGTTGCAAAAGTGCCAATTGAATGATCTATATGTGCCATGTTACAAGTGAAACACATTTGTAATAGTATTCAATGCTTTTGAAAAGTAAAGTATTTTATAATTTTACATCATTATGATTTTGACACTGGTAAAGGTTGAGCTATTTTGAACTACTTTGTAAACTGTATCACACACAAATACGTTTGTTTTATTCAACTTAATCTGCAAAGTAAATATGAATTGTAGTTTTAAATAATAGGTAGTGGAGTAAAGAGCACACCTTTTGCTTCTCAAATGTTGTGAAATTAACATCTTAATAGTAATCATAGCTAAAACTGCAAGAAGAGTATTTTGTGTCTTTTACTGAAATAAAGATGTTGATATGTCACTGACAACTCTCACTACATACTGAATAGATGTCTGGTTGTTTTTCTTTTTTCAGGAGCTGTTGGTCACCATGGAGACAACCTGGTGGAGAAGATTCTGAGTCTGCTTAAACCTTTACCTGGTCATGTGACAGACATACAGGTGGACATGCTGGAGCTCACAAGTCTGCAGCGAACCCCTCACTCCCAGACCACCCTGGCCCCCGGCTGCCTCGCACAGACCCAGTGAGTAGCTCTCTAATGGTGATTAGCTATATCCCATGTTATGTTCAATGGTGTTTTACTGTGCTGTAAATACACATAGCTTTTATTATGACATACAACTGATTAAGATGGAAAATAACTTTTATTGGTGTTGATCATTTATCGAATGTCCCATCAGCCATGATTTAAGACCCAAGAGCCGGGACAAGAAAAGAGAGTGGTATAGGAAAATCACACAGACTCCTCTCTGGGATTGTGACCTATACCACAGCCAGCCACTAGGGTCGATCAAAATGTTATGATTTGACTTTATACACTCTATTTGAATAATTCTTACCTGTGGCCCTAATCTTTACCCTAGTAAAGTTTGAGCACATAAATACCTGTGTTTTCCTCTACACAATACCTCTCAGGCTCATTAACGGTGTTGTTGTATACAAGTATGCATTCCAATTTGATAAAACATAGATTCAATTTGAACAAAAAGGAAAATTAGGTCCAAGTTTTGAACCTGCCAGCCTGATTTGGCATTTATTGTTTGACTGAGCTCCAGATTACTCCTGTACTTCTGTTTGTGTTATGGTTAAATAATGTCTATGAGTTACCGAAGATAATAGCAGATATTTTGTTATCCTCCTCCTCATCAAATACATATTTTCTTATCTAAATGGGATTATATATGTAATCTGACTAGAGACGGGTAACATGGCATTTCAAATCTGAATCCTTTCTTATTGCTCATCAAATTGTTTCAGGTAGAATGAAGACTAATATAAGTACATTACCAACTTGTAACCAAAATTGACACAACCACAATAAATATTTTTGACATACTTTGCACCTGACCAAACACACACATGCACAAACACACACCCACTAGCTAGAGCCAGCCCCCACTGAATGAGTTGAGTGGCACATGACCTGCATCAGGTGCCGGTGGTTCAGTGGAGCTTGCCTCTAGTCTTAGCTGTGCAGATGCACGTGTTCAGCGCCTGCGGTGAGGCTGTTGTACATGGCAGGGATTAGCCCTACATCATGTGTTCCACTCCCGCTTTGCCCCCTTCATGTGGTTGCAGGAGGAAAATACTTTGACTTAGAAGAAGAGTTTTGTGGCTTGAGCTGTCATGCAGTGTGTCTGGTGGAATTGAGTTCATGCACACGCTCACATATACACTAAATGCAGCAGGGACCATTCTCAACTAGGTGGGAGGTTCTGTTGTAATGGAACCAGTCTTATATGTTGCTAGTCAGCACTATTTAGACAGTGTGGACTGAAGCATATCATGTGAGACCAGCAGGGGCAGGTTGCACCCACCCTCAGATGCAGGGCTCAGTTAAAGGGCATGTGGACCTATAGATCCCTACAATACACCCACAAATGCATATCTCAAGTCACTGTAGTTAAATGTCTTGGTTGCACGAACACAGCTGTCTCTGTGGATGAAATGTTTTATGCATGCTTAAGGCTGCAGCAACAAGCCTCTGACATTGCCAACCTATCCTACAGGTTTAAGTATGATGATGGATAAGAGGTTGGGATCGGTGGCTGTGCAGAGGTTGAGGTAATGTTTGCGGCAATGTTTGCAATTATTGTTCCAGATCTTCCCAGAGAGTCTCGGCCACCACATCTCACAACATTTAGATAACCGATTCAGATATTGTATACAACTCCTAGCAGATGCTACAAAGCAAATAGACGGAGGAAAATATGTAGCTTAAAATAATAAGTAATACGCCAGGGGCTGTGTTTGTGATGATCAGGGACAGCCGGATCAGTGGGAGCATTATTGCCGCGGTGCTATCTCTGAGCAGATGGCCCAGTGGAGCCTTATCACAGATGTTTAGGAGATTGAAGAGCTGCCTTGGCACTGCAAGAATGAAGCTTAGAATTCCATCTTTATTTAACTGCCTTCAGGAACACAGCTCACCACAGCTAGAGTTTTAGTCAATCTCTGTAATACGTTCAAGACAGGGCTCTGCAAATGCATGGTTGTAGAGGTGTACTGCTCTTAAGCATTAATCTCTCTTAATTCCATCCAAAATACAAAAGCACATATTTCTAAAATAGATTGTTTTCAAAGCAGCAGACCTCTTTGTGGTTCTATTGTCTATATAATAAGTTCTCTCCTACTCCATGTTTATACACCTATGATTTGTTGAGCTATTTTTAGCTCAGACCACTGTGTGTTTTGATTGGTTTTGTTGTGTAGAGCCACTCAAGCCTTTAAATAATAGGTGTGGACCTAATTTGGACCCTTTTGTATGATATTTCCCTCAGTAATTCCAGGATATTTTTATAGATTACCGTGTCTTAAACATTCTGTGGGTGGTTGTTGATTCTAGCTCTCCTGGCAAGACCCCACACTTACTTTGCAATTACTGTCGTATTGTCTTTCATAACCTGGCGTGAATTTTCCTTATCCTACAACCTGACTTTTACTCTGTGGTTACAGGTATTAAGCCTGAGACAAAGTATACTTTGTGTGGGTGTATATGCACAGACATTTTGCCTGCTCTGGTATTTTATTTCACCATTCTTTAACTATGGCATTTTCCCCTGCTATTAAATAGTGCCAGGAAGAACAGTTAGCTGTATATAGAAGGATGTTGAGTGAAAGTGGCAGTGGGAGGGTTGTTTTGTGTATATGTGTGTTTGTGGTCACGTACCTTCCAGCCCAGTCTGTGTAATTTGCTGTGCTTGGCTGCACAGCTCTTGTGATCTTGAGGAAGACATATGAACCCCACTGGCAGAGGGCACCAAGTTTCCTTCAGTCTCAGACTGAACCCTGCACCCCCGTCATCTGGTCGTCTTCGACCTTGATCCTGTGGTGGGAGTATGTGCTTGTGGGCAGAATCCAGTACGGGTGGCCAAGGTGCTCTGAGTCTGCCTCAGGAGCTGCTGAGCTTGAGCCAGCCAGAGCAAGCGACCCGCACCCTGCCATAAGAAAACACAGCGAGGCTGCCATCTCCTCAATTCTGCCCAGCACATCATGCATGGGTACCACCAGGAAGGAGGGAAAACACCTATTTCTGTCCTAGCTGGGAAAAAGGAGCCTGAATAAAAAGCTATGCACTCTGAGTTCACGCTGTATGGGGAAAAGAAACAAAAACAACAGAGATAGTAGAGTGTGGAGAGGAGAGAGCAAATGACAGACAACTGAGGACAGCTAACCCTGGATTACCCCACCAAGAATACAAACAACATATTCATTCTATGGTGGCTCCTCATAGGGTACATTCTGTTTGTTATACTCACTCAACTTGAAGTTAGGCAATTCAATGATGTTAACCTACAACTAATGATACATATTAGTCAGTTCAGGTAGTCATGCCAACAGAAAATAGTTTTTTCTTGTAGAATACAACTTTGCACTTGATGGAAATTGCAGCCTTCCACACGTAAGTGAGAGCCAAATGGGACTAAAATAGTCACAATTTCACAACAAGGGAACAATTTTCCATCTGGGTCAAATGCGTCAGTGCGAAAGTAACACAGTTTAGCTGCTTTCATCTTATAACTTATCACCCTGATTTCATCAAGACTACCCTAAAGGTCAATGATAACTCAGATAACAGAGATAACAAATAGTGTTTCGAATTTCTGTAGTTATTTATAGGAGATGCAGGGATTTAGCGATATCTTAGGATCCAGTGAGCTGACATGTCCCCTGGCCCATTTCAGATGTTGTGTCGCTGCCGAATTCTTCTTTCTCCCCGGGTGTAGAACGTATCTCATCCTGAAACCCTCAGTACATCAATCAAGTAGATTACTTTCACCTGAACAATTTGTACTCCGTGTTCCCATCAAGACTGAGATAACATAACCTATTCTGTCTTGTATGCCTTCTTCCACTCTGTAATTTGATATACACTGCAGATCCCACTTTCTCTTCGGGAAAGAGTGCATGCATTTATTCAGTTAGATAATAAAACATCACCTGAAGATGATACTTAAAATCCTACAGTCCTTCTCCTTCAAAGAGCCCCTACTGTTGGCTCTCATTTGAAATGGTAAACTAGTCAAGGAACATAAGAGGAGGAAGAACCTCCCTCAAACGTCTCCCTTTTATTTTCTCCCCTTCTCCAGCATTTGAACATTTAGCATTTAACATTAAGTCCTCCAACTCGTACGACCAAATGGGCCGATTGTTCAGGCCCTTATTACGACCAAATATGTTGTTTGTTCAAGCGCTTAATACGTCCTATGAATACGTTTTAAAGTGTTCGCCCTCTAGTGCTCCCGTTGAAGGCAAACGTTATTTATTCACAAATAACCCTCTCTGTAAAATCCTAAATTGTTGGATAGTTTGGCCATTAAAATGCTTTTTGATTAGATTTCTAGCGAGAAGTGTATATTGTACTTTTAGAATCCACGTCCAGTCGATATGTAGGATCTATAGTTTGATAGATATTACGAAGAGGATTTGAGGTATGCGGCAGCCTCCATGTAAAGTTACGGGTTGAAAACAGTATTTCCAGTCTCAACGTTTTCATAATAAAACCAATGATCAAATGATTTAACAGTGATATCTGCAGTACTCATCCACTAAAAAACATCAGTTTATCCTTGTTAATTATACGACATTTATTGGTTTAAATTGTGTACAATGCTTTTGTGTTTTTCCCATAGGTTTTTCTCTTTCGATTCTGAGAGACACCTTTCTTTTTACATCGATTGTTTTAGCCGCAATGCATTTCGGGATATGGTGTTTATATGATATGAAATCGGAAAAACATTTTTTTTAAATAAAAATAATACTTTATTCCGAGTGTTCTTGCTTTTCTCTTTGGAAGTCATCACATAACAGCATTGTAATACACGGTTTGGCTGCATTAAATATTACATATCTGCCGTAGATATTTATTTATAGAGCCCTGATCAGAAGACCTTTTGACAAACTGTAAGAAATGCCGCCAAAACTGAATACGTGACGTGGATCATAAATATATCAGCAATTTAACAACATCTTCCATTTCTTTTCACACAATACGTCTCCTTGCAGTATCAACACTAATTCGGCTGACTTTTATATTTGATCCAATTGGTACAGTAGATAGGCTATATTTACACCATAAAGGTGCACAGCTGATAGAAAGGGATTTTTTTGTAGTTTTTAAAGATATGATTTACTACCAGTTGACTGTTACAGGTCTATACAGGTTCATGGTACAATGCATAAGCTTCAAATCAAGAGACTGAAACTGTATTTTCCTTTACCGTTCTGTTTTCATTTCACAATAAAGTTAATAGTCATATTATGTTTGATATTATTATGTTTTATTAACTACACCACTGGTTTTTTAACCCGCACCGCCTAGCGGTTAAAGCACGTTATTGAATTTTGTTGTTGAATACGTTTTATTTGATGAAAACATTTAAATATTAAGAGTAGCCTACATACAAAATTGGGGGAAAGTAGAAGGCATGATAGAAATATAGAATATAAAATATCAAGAAGATACCGTAGTGATCTCTACAATAAAACAGTTTAGTGTAGGACATCCAAAGATATTAACAGGAGGATGTGCAAAACAGACAAAGTAATAAGGCTTTATTTAAACATTAAAGAATACTTTAAGTTAAGGTCTTCTTTTGAATAAGAAAAAAACGTTGGGGTTATCCACAGATAAATATTAAGTCTGACAAAGTACTTAACGTCCAATATATTGCATAGTTTATTTTGGCACTTGACAATCACCTTCCCTGAATTTGACTCAGGTGTAACTAAAGTCTGATTTAAGGGTTGTTTATATTTCACATCATTAATCAGAATCTGCAAAGTAACTAAAATAAATGTAGTGGAGTAAAAATACCAGGTTAACCTCTGAATTGTAGTGGAGTAGAACAAAGTAGTATGCTGCTGTAACAAAAACATTTCCCAACTTGGGATCAATAAAGTATCTTATCTTATCTTAAGATGATCGATGGCTACTGCCATATTTGCAAAATTTGCCTCTGAACCTTGACAAGTGCATGTTTCAGGCTTATCAATGAACAACAGGAGGGGTCATAGACATAAGACCAGCTGTTAAATAAAGCTCTTCTGACCTTAGCTGTCATGTGGGTATATTAATGCTGCCCATTATGGACACAAGCAATTTTCACCCATTTATTAATTATATGTTTTAAATTTGATAACACGTATCCCCTAAACCTCCAGGGTGTACACAGTTTAATACTGGCAACTTCTAATTGTGGGAAATACGATAACGTTTTATAAAGAGATGTGCCATCGAACATGTTGCGAAACACACAATTGCCAGCATGTGTAGTTCTGGGGGGGGGGGAAGTCTGCCGTGGTTCCATTCCATTTCATAGAGCTGTGACGCTCAGTGTAACCTTGTCGCACTGCCACTCCAACATCCAATCACAGGGCTTGATGACTAATCATGGGGTTTGTAAAGCAAGGCGGATATTGTAGTCCCAAACGATAGCCGGGGATTGTGGGTAGTGTCGTGTCTTGGGAAACTGTAGTGTCTTAACTCCGAAAAAACTATTTGTTTCTCTGAATCGAAGGTTAAAAACACAAAAGCATTGTACACAATTTAAACCACTCAATATTGTGTAATTAACAAGGATAAACTGATGTTCTTTAGTGGATGAGTAATGCAGATATCACTGTGTAATCATTTGACAGTGAGGGGAATATATCCGGTTTTATTATGAAAACTTCAAGACCGGAAAAACTGTTTTCACTTGTAAATGTATAAACTGTTACTGTGTAAATCATTCATAAACGTTTACCTGACACACTAGAAATGTTAATTAATGGAAACATTCTTGCTCTTGTAATTAGCATTTTAAGATTTTTTTTCATTCTAACACATACTTTGTGCTTCTTGAGGATGTTAACAACGATGTATTTCCCTATTCTTTAATAGAAAAAAAGCTATATATGGAGTTTTGACTGGACGGAGGTGGCCAATGAGTGCTCCTGGTACTTCTGCGTTGGTGTGTTTTAGTACGTCCCTCCTCTCCTATCCCCACTTCCTGCAGAATCCTCTTACCCTTTTTCTCTCCCAATAAATCCGCTGGGTCATTTGTCCCTCTTGCCAGGACACACAGACACTCAAGGCCAGGTCTGGTTTTGGTCCACCTCTCTCTCCCTCACATGTACATGAGGATGTTTACAGGAAACCGACAGTGTGTTTGCCCCATTAAACACACTTCATAAATTAACTCACTGAGGGATTGCAGCTGACCTTGCACAATCCTGTTAGGCAGAATCTTTTACATACAGTACACATTGACCTGTTTGAAAGTACACACTCACACACACACACACACACACACACACACACACACACACACACACACACACACACACATTTATGAGCTTTAATCACATCTTGGTGCCTGTGCTATAGGCAACCAGATTATTATTTTCACATTAACCTCTAGTGGTTTCCAGCCATGCAGAAAGAATGATTTTATGATACCTTTATCCAAGATTTCTACCATCAATGCAATAAGATGCACTTACATTTTGTTAATTGGGTGACGTTGAGAAATATAGGGGGATGTTGAGAAAATAGAAACACATTTTAACAGCAATTGGCCTTTTCAGAAACAATCAAAGTAACCTGGCCATTGAATGCCCATCAAATGTTCAACTGGTCGTCTTACTAAATGTACAGACATATCTCAAAAAGTGATCAGTGAAAATGATAAAGCGAGACACTACTAGAGGTAAGTGAGAACATGTGTTTTCTGTTATTTGGGGGAACTTACCTTTGTGGCCAACTATCCAGGATGCTTCATCAATCATATGTATGAATCACTTTTGAATCACTTTACTGTACTTACGGTATAAGCTTGTTCGTCTGAGGTCAAAGTAAGGAAATAAACACTGAAATGTGTAAGCATGTTCAACCAAATGTTGATGGGGCCACAGGATGGGGAGTACATTTAAGAAATCCTGAGTCAGAACGGTTGGAGCCATTCTTTTCTGCTGCATCACCCTCTTCCAGGAATACTATCCCCCTCCTCACCCCCACACTCATTAATTTGTTGGACCCGGTCAGGGGTATTTCATCACTTTAATGATCGTACGCGTTCATTCTTCTCGTAGTACGCACATCTTTCTTAAAATTCCAGTATTTGATACTTAACTGCCTTTTATTTGTACAACACTTATTACACATCTAGTGGAATTTAGTTTGGGCACTAACAGCCCCTCACCACTCACCAAACAGCCTTTCCAAGTCAGTCAGAGAGGATGTTCACTGTGGTTACACAACCCAAGAGCGAGGCTGCCCCCTTCAGTCTAGATCTGAGCAGCCTTTGCAACAAACAGAGCCATACTGCGCTTAACGTTTCCCCCCCCCCCTCCCCCCTCTCTCTTCCATAGTAGAGAAGTTACTCAACAAGGTTCCTGGCTGCTTATGGAGCCTGTCTCACACCCTGCCAGTATAAACCTCACCCCCAGGCCCAGCTTGCACTCCCGCCTTCGTCTGACCAAATGGCCAAGGATAAGCGAGTGGGGCCAGTTGTCGGGGGGCTGGTTGAGCCAAATTGGAACCATATTTCATCCACACTCTACTGAAGCCCTCAGTCTTCCAAATACACACACGGATGCACAGTGGTGTGTGCAAACATACAGATGCATGTGTTGGCCTGCTCAAGTCACCCCATTGGTATTTTAACCATGACAAGTATGCAGGACTTCACAATTTGCGTAATCCTGGCAGTCCTGACAGTCCATCAAGAGCATGGGAGGTGTTTTCTGAAGGATTATGAGTGTTCTCCAAAAATGAAACCTTGTCATAGCTTTTGACCAATAGCTACAATGTTGTATCTGTGTCTTAATCACATTATAAGCAATTGAAAAGACTGGAATTGAAAACCTGATTTATCTTTCTTGATTCTTGAACTGTCTTTCTGTTTTCACTGTAACTGTTTTTACATTAGACTTTTGTCCTGGCTGAGTCGTGTTCGCCGGTCTTTGTGTCTGGTTCTAGTGTGAAGATGGCGGGCCTCCCAGTGTGAGCCCCTCTACTCCCCATCTAGCCCCAGCCTAAGGTCTGGAACTGATTTCATCTGATATTAAACAGATGGCAGTAAGAAAGGAGAAAAGTAGGGAGAAAAAAGTTAAAACAGAAAGAAAAGAAAAACAGAGTGGATTCATCAACGAGCTCCCTCCTACCCTCCCTCCTCTGTGTCCTCAGCCTATTTTCTCCCTTTGTCTCCCTCAGTTCAGTTTCTGGTCACTCCTGAGAGAAGATACAGTCTTCTTGTCAGTCTTGCTGTCAAAGGCAAAGACATAGATGTAAGCCTTTTGATGCCCTTTTATCCAGCCAACAATGTGTCACTGTCTTTAACAGGGCAAGACATCTGAGAGAAGACCAATAGAGTAGCTTGAATTCAGCACGTTTTATAAGAGAAACTGTGACTATCTAGGACACTAATCTGCAGGACACTCTTTGTTTCTTTCGCAGAATGACTTGAAGCTGTTTCCACTGCTCCTAACAGATGGTAGTAGTCTTACGCACATGCCTTGTCCTCAGTTTCCCATTAAAGATGTGGATCAGTGTATTTCATAACCTAGCGGATAATGAGACGAGGGACTGAGATGGTATCAAGAGGAGCCTTGGTCTCCAGACTCTGTTGCTCTGCCCCTGATGTAAGGACAGCACTGATCGGTCCAGAGGAATGTTAGCACACAGACTTTTTAGGTGGATTGAAAACATTCCTAATGTTCCCTCTGCTAATTTCAGTTTTTTCCTGTGAGGGGTCCCATAGGGGAGTCGTCACTCCCCGACCAGCAGGCTCTCTATCACTGAGACGAGCCCTCAATCACGTCCATGTTGTCCCTTTCGTTTGTATAGTCAGAGTCCTGCCTGTTCTGAGCAAACAGCATGAGCAGCAACAGTCGCTCAGCTTGTTAATGTTGTTCTTTTTTTTTTTACCACACTATTTTTTTCTCTCCTCATGACTTAATGATCTGTCTGACTGTTTTTCCAACCAGGTCACCAGCAGCTCAGACTCTGTGGGAGGCCATGCTGACCAATAAACATAAAGAGGGGGTGATGGAGGTCCGTCGGCAACTAGTGGAAACAGCCAGCAAAGAGAAGCTGCCAATCAAGATGAGCATGGGTAAGAAACTGAATGCCACAGATGAATTAAAATACACAACTTGTGTCATGAAATAAAACACAGAGTACAGACAAACATAAAGAATGAACATGAGCAAATCCACGTGAAATAAAAACATCATCATGATAATGTATATTCTTAGAGAGGTGTGTGTCTGTATTTTGGAGCAGCACCATAGCGCCCCCTACTGATATCCAACTGCTCTGCCTTACCGTGTGTTTGCCCATGTGGCCACAGAGGAAATCTGAACCACATGTTGGCTCTATGACACACACTTACACACTCTCTCTCTCTCTCTCTCACACACACACACACACACACACACACACACACACGCTCCATAACACACGCTGCTTTTGAAACTTTTGTTGTTTGTTAATGAAGCAAAAGGGGCTCAGGCAAGGGATATAAATATGTGTTGGCACGCACACATAAAGTCATTACATGCACAAGTACAGTGCCCTTATGCACATTCACCGTTATGCTGCCCTTTGACTCAAATAGGTAATGGTTCAACTGCACAGACACACACACACACACTCACACTCACACTCACACACACACACACACACACACACACACACACACACACACACATACACATACACATACACTCACACACACACACAACACACACACACACACACACACACACACACACACACATCACTCATACATGCAGGGCTAATATACAGGTTAGCATCTGGCAGGAACGGGGGGGGGAGTTAAAAGGGAGGGGCCGTGTGGTCCCTCAGCGCCTATAATCTGTGAGGTAAAGAAGGTCTCGTCTCTCGTAACAAGCAGGTTGTAATATGTTGGAGGTCACACACACACACAAACATATGCACGCACACTCTGCCAAGCATCTGTACACACATGGTGGTTTATTTTCACACATTTGTGTAAAACATCAGTTCTTTTAAATCTAGATGGCCGCTACATTGTGGATCAGGAGTGACAGGGAACGCAAGAAATTATGAAGAAGGTGCTGCCTGCTGACTGACATTAAAGCTGCTGCCTGCTGCTGACTGACAGTCTGTTAACTTAATGTCTTTCCTGAGAGAGAGAATAAGAGACAGGCAGGGGGAGAGGGGGCACTGTCAAACTCCTCACACACTGAACCCTTATACCCCGCTGGCACAGGACCAGACTCCATGAAGCCCCCTAAGCTCCAATCACACCCCCACACAGTTCCCATCCTGCCCACCACCAGCACCACCAGCGGAGTTCTCAATCCATCATGCTCTGCTCATATGAGAGCAAGTTAAACCCAAAACGCTTAGCATTAATGCCTATCTGCTCTCTCAGTGCCCACTCACTCTGTAGGAGAGCAGCATTTTTCCACTCTCTCCAGAGCACATTATCACTCTGGCTGGTTTGTGCACATCATGAAGAAAATAGTGTCAGGATACCGCAGGCCCTCTAATCTCATATACACACAGACTCAACTTGGCTTCTTTTCATCTTATCAGGATACGATCATCCAGAGAGAGACAGAGAAAATAATCCATTTCTCAGAGCCCGAGAATGACCCGTCAGCTCTCTCATAGCACAATAAGATGATGAAATTCCCTGTGTGTGTGTGTGTGTGTGTGTGTGTGTGTGTGTGTGTGTGTGTGTGTGTGTGTGTGTGTGTGTGTGTGTGTGTGTGTGTGTGTGTGTGTGTGTGTGTGTGTGGGTGTGTGTGTGTGTGTGTGGTGTGTGTGTGTGGTGTGTGTGTGGTGTGTGGTGTTGTGTGTGTGTGGTGTGGTGGGTGTGTGTGTGTGTGTGTGTGGTGTGTGGTGTGTGTGTGGTGGTGTGTGTGTGTGTGGTGTGGTGTGTGTGTGTGTGTGTGTGTGTGTGTGTGTGTGTGTGTGGTGTGTGTGTGTTTTTATCTATTCATCTCTGGTTTGTATGCCTGCATATGTGTGCGTCACAAGGTTATACCGTTTGTGTATCTATTGTGTGCACCTGATACTGCTGTGTAAATGAGATGTGTTGACAGAGCCTTCTCCCTGTGGTAGAGGTACAGTCCTTGTCCTTTTCATGAGCGAGTTCAAGCGATCATTTATTGGATTCATCATTTTCAGCTGTGAGATCTGGGAATGTAATATCACAATGGTTTCAGATTAGCGTTCATGTTTACAGTATCATCTCCCCTATTTCTTATTTAAAATGCACTATCATTTAATTAATTTGAGCAATAAAAGCATATTTTTAGGGCGTCGAAGATTTAATCTCAACTTTGTACAGGCAAATGAAAGCAGATACGACACGATCACTTACATATATTTTTTACTTAATAGAAAGCACGGATAACATATTTTTCTTCGACACAGACACTGAAGGAGGTCTGAGTAATGTGGCACTGTAGCTGCCCTGTTGTAACCTGTGATCCCTACTCCTACTGTACTGTAGAGTCTTAAGGGGCCTCAACATACACCCACAAAAAGAAGCCCCAGAACTTTTCCCATCTTAAAGTGCATAAATAAATGTGTCTCAGCCTTCCTGTGTCCCCCATCCATGTAGAATTACTTACGAGGCTGTCCAGTTGCTGGGACCAGCCACCATCAGACATCACTTAGCCTCTGAGTAACCCTGTGCACCTAGAATGCAAGTCATCTTCCAGTCACAGGACTAAATCATGGTTGGCCCCTGCCCTTTTTCGCATTGTTCAGGACTTTGATCGTGACCCAACCTCAATTGCCACTTCTGCACATCAGGCTAAAATGGGTAGGAGCTCCAACAGTTTATAGCATTTGACTTAAAGATGTGATTTGTTTTATGGCTGGTACTGCAATAAGTGCACCCAGAGGAACAGTGGAATGGCCTTAAGGTGCAGGTTTCCCCTGTTATCTGTATGTATTTAAACAACTACAGTATTGTATGTACCTGAAAACCATTAGGAATAAGTTACTGGTGAACAAAACAGACACACTGATTGAAATAACTAAATCTTTCTTGCACACACTATTTATTTAACTGAGCACTATATTAGAAGCATGTCATATACATGACACTTGACCACAGTTTAACTGTATAAATAAAACATTAGCTTGTGTTTTCACACACCAGATGTTAAATGTGTATATTTAATGCATTGAAACGACCTAAAGTATACTGTTGTTTAACAACTTAAATAAAGCCAATGTGGACAAATATATTCAAAGCACAAGAACAGTGTCTTTATACTGGTACAGTCTAATTAATTTGAAGCTGAAAATAAGAGCATTTCCAGTACTGCTATTCCTGCAGAAACACCCCAGTATAAAACCACAGCTCAGCTGACAGATCATCACCCTGAGATTAGTTTGCATCTGGCAACAAGATGCCTGAGGAATCACAGAACTGTTTACAGGGAAGTTAAGTGACATAGATAAGAGCTAAGGCTTTGCAGGGCTATTTGATTTGGAGAACAGGCTTTTATGTGGCTTTCTTGTCTTCTTTTGTTGTGTTATTTTACAATGTCTTTACATTTCTCACTTGGTCTCATATGATCTAGCCAAGCTGTAACGCCTGAATATATTTGGCCTACAGTGTGCCATTCCTTTCCTGTTCTTGGGTGAAATTATGCTTGGCCTTGGCTTTGGATGTATTTCCTGGTTCTGTGCTGAATTATGGTTGGCACATCAAGCTAAGAGAACCTTGGTTAAACTGCCAGGGTTTTATGGCTGGATATGTTCACAATAGAGCTTTTCAGGATTTGGAATATGTCTGGCTGTATGTCTGGAGCTCATTCTTCAAAAATAGTTTTATTTCAGTGAAAAATCTGGTTCCCTTTCGTAGAGATTCCCTCTCTATTGCCAGTACAGTAAGTGGCACACAACACACCAAGTCTTTCACTTCGGTTTGGAAAGTGGGCTTCCAAACTTTTCAGAAATCTACTTTTCTGTTTGGTTTACTTATCAGCTTATTAAAAAAAATGTTTTTGTTACTAGCTTCCCTGGATGATTCTATCCAAAATGTCTATCTGGAAATATTTCACATCCAAAGATTTTTTTCATCCACTTTTATAAAGCTAAAAAATGTGTTCTGAGTCCCCAACCACTTTACTATTCTGGATATTTCTGCTCAATTCTTCTTATCCTGCCTGTCTGTTTCTCTTCTAGTCATGTGTTTGGCCCCGCTAAAGAAAACATTGGCCATGTAGTCCAACAGGAAATACTCCCACATCTGGTGCTGGTTCAGAACATCAACATGAAGAAGTAGTCTTTATGGGGAGTTAATGTGTGCCCCCTCTCTATCCCAGCCCCTAACACAGCCGCTCGTACCTCCAGGCCACCCTGTGCACCCCCTCCTAGACTTTACACCCTTTACTTAGCTCTTCCTGTGTCTCTGTGAATCTTCGTTGGAGAGGTGGCAGAGAGACAAAGTGTGAGGAATCCACTCTTTATAGCTGCCTCTATTAATGTTCACAGATAAACTCAGATTTACACTTATTTGTCACACACAAGGTGGGTTCCCAGGGACTCTTATCAGAGTTCCTGCACCTCTGCTATATGGAGACTCACTCAGTGATTTTTAGTCATAAACTGTGACTCATGAACACATCTTCCTCTAAACTCTGACAGCCACTCTACCTGAAACTCTCACACATAGAGAATATTGCTTTCTGCTTGGCATAGCTTCACAAACCTCTGCTCACAGCTCTCCTTTTTCTCCTAGTTTTTGATCATTAAGATAATATTATGGTCTGGTTTGGTATCAGTCATTCCCCTCTGCCCTAAGCTGAGTGTATATTCAAAAGGTTGTTATGCTTGGGAAAAGGTTGTCCATTTGTACTGTTTTCCCTCTCCGCTCTTCCCATCAGGAGGAATAATTGTGTGTGTGTGTGTGTGTGTGTGTGTGTGTGTGTGTGGTGTGTGTGTGGTGTGTGTGTGTGTGTGTGTGTGTGTGTGTGTGTGTGTGTGTGTGTGTGTGTGTGTGTGTGTGTGTGTGTGTGGTGTGTGTGTGTGTGTGTGTGTGTGTGTGTGTGTGTGTGTGTTGTGTGTGTGGTGTGTGTGTGTGTGTGTGTATGGTTGTGTTGTGTGTGTGTGTGTGTGTGTGTGTGTGTGTGTGTGTGTGTGTGTGTGTGTGTGTGTGTGTGTGTGTGTGTGTGATGTGTGTGTGTGTGTGTGTGTGTGTGTGTGTGTGTGTGTGTGTGTGTGTGTAGTGTAGTGTGTGTGTCCGTTGTGTGGGCCCGTTAACCTTATCGTTTTATCCTTGTTTTTAATGGATGGCACAGAAAAGACCAAGTGGCCAACAGCCAGTGTACACTATGGGATTATGATATACTGTATAATGTACGCTGACCAATATGAATGGATAACTGTGATGGCTCCATAAATATTAACAGTACTTTCTTCCCTCCTCTCAGGCCGTGTGACCCCCGAGCAGCTGTGCTCCTACATGCAGCTGTTCAAGAGTAGTTGGGGGGCGCTAGAGAGTCACTGCGGGGTGCTCCAGCTGGGCCTGGCCACGGCCCAGACCCTCCGCCACCCCAACTTGCCCCGCTGGGATGCCTGCCTGGCCTTTGAGAGGCTGCTGCTGCAGGTCTGTACTCATCTTACACAAAACTGTTATCCATATGGGTTGTAGGCAATAAAAAGTAAATAAAAAGTCTAAAATGGATATCCACCACAGATGCAAGCAATTTTCTTTTTTGATATTAAAGAATGTGGATCAAATAACTTGAACATTGCAAACAGATTTTTACATTCTATCCTGTACACCGTTACACTGACAGAGTGTAATAGAAGAGCAGCACATATGATGGCAATTTGTAATTGCCTTGGTAATTATTCCTTCGAATCTTTCCCTTCGGGTAAATATTTTATTACCGACGCTCAGCAGGTAAGTGGCTGCTTGTGGTTTGCTAAATGTTGGCCAGAATGTTGTGTTAAACTGACAGGGACAGGAAAAAATATGCAGATTCCTCTCCTTCATAAACAAGGTCATTTGTGTTTGTAGGGTAAACATTTGGATCCAGTAAACACAGCAAAAAAGCCAGATTTTCCATCATGTTGCTTTGAGGCTTTTTGAGGTCTAGTTTACGGGGGCGGACAGCGGCGGATGTCCACGTGTGTTTGACTGTGGAAAGGTCAGAGGGCAAGCCTGATGGAGGGACAGAGGGGTGGTAAGAATAAATCAGAAGCAAAACCATCCAGTCCTCACATCAGCTCTTTAGCCGTGATCAACTGATATTGTAGGAAAGAGCACCAAGCTGAATGGCGCCATACTCTGCGAGATAATAAATGGTAAAGCCAGTTTTATCCTTCTCTTACCTTGCTATTTTCATTGAGTCGCTGTATATTCCTGAAGCTGTAAAGCAAGCAGCAGAATAGCAAAGTATTTAGGAAGTTATTAAACTAAATCACGGAAAAGTAAAACAAGCTTGCAACAGTGCCCTATGCCAAATTGGAATTTCAAAACAACCTCATAAACCTTGGTCCTCAGCTGGGGCCATCATTGGTTTATTAAATGAAGGAAGAAGACTTAGGGCTTATAGTCCCAGTATCCATTTACTTCATGACCCCACTTTGATCCACTCGCTACCCCATGGTTATCTCCTATACCTAGATAATTCAAAGAACAACATTCTCACCACTGTTTTGTAGTTTCAGTCTCATAACCACCAGGTTTTAGGAACTGCGTCCCGTTAAACTGACGATGACTAAGTTAATAACATACTGTTGTTGTGTTTAGCATCAGGATAGTATAAAGAGCACCTGGCGTTGGTTCAAAATGAAATTCTTCAAAAATCAAATCTCACAATCAAGCCTTGAGCGCGATGTGAGAGTTGCTATTTGCAATCAAAACGGCCCTGGGTTTTATTGAGGTATTAAGGGAAATGAGTTGTGTGTCCTCTGTGCCCCCCTCTGTTTATTTAATTTCCATGTGAGGTTTTTTTTCTCAGGCTCAACATGGACAGAGAGAAGTTAATTACATTACAAAATGGCGGGATGAAATGCCTTTCAGCTCTGGCTGGCGGTTGGGCTGTGTTTGCTCTGCCTGAGTGTGTGAGGGCTGCTGTGGATAGTACTGGGCAGAGCCGGTCGCTCCACTGCTGGTGGACAGTGTGAGTTCATTCAGGTTAAGTCTGTGGTTCCCCGGGGCCTTGAAGTGGGCCTTGACTGAGGCAAAGGGCCTTTCAGTTCAGGGACCAGCCTAGTTTATACCTTTCCAAATAGTTATGCATATACTTTGTCTGCATACTATATAATAATACTGTGTAATTGCTACTTTGAGACCTAAAGAAACATGTAATTGCTCATGAGGTAGAGCTTAAATATGCTACTGTTTAAAAATGGGGTTTGCTTGTGCATATTTTTTAATGGTGGCCTTCACTTGAAGGAGATATACCTGTGAGGGTCATGCAGCTGTGAGATTGGCAAGATAGGGAAACAGCTGTGGTTAAAAAGCTTGACATGTTATGTAATGTGGTATGATACATGTTTATACTGAATTTCCAGGGACTGCTGGATTACCTCCTCAATAAAGGACTTTTATTTTGTGTGAGATGGTCAGATATCTTGTTGGCTGGCACTGCCATCCTGCTCGCTGTCTGGCATGTAACTGGGATTTAGTCTGAATGGGTCAGATTGAGCAGGCTTGGTCCATCTCCAGCCCGCAGTTACAGAATGTGTATGCTAGACGTGTGCAGCCAAGGCAAAGCTCAACAGACTCACTCTTTCACCACTTCCCAGAACATCACAAACACCCTACCTTCCCATCATTGGACCGCCAGAGCCTCGACCTCACCAAACTCAACATGTATACTACTACTGTACATCCCTCCCAGAGCAAACTGACTTACTTTGTAAGGCTAGTATTGTCTTTGGGTGTGCTGTGCAGTTTACTGTTCATTAGTGTGTCACATCAGTAAACATAGCAGTGATGACAGCGGTGCAGTGGAGAGAGGCTAACCTCCCTCACCCCGGCCTGTTGCTCTACTCTGCTGGGATTACAAGGGCAGGACTCTGCAAACATTCAAGCTCCGAGTTATTACTGGTCACAGCACAGCCGTATGTCCCCGCTCCCATGAGTCACTCATACTGCCTGCCTGGTCCTTATCTCTGTCTCTGCTTTGTGTTTGTGTTTAAGTCTGAAACACTGTTTATATGTAAGTTAAAAACAAGCTATGAACCCAATTCCCTTGACATTAATTTCCAGAAGCTGAAATTGTTCATTGGGACTCATTCGTACAAACACAAGATACAGATCCAAATGAGTCTTTTTGAAAATGTAAGCATTTACCAGCATGTGGTTCAAACCCCCCTGCAGTCAGCATGTCGATGTGTCCCTGGGCAAGACACTTCACCCCAAATTGCTGTTGTGGGGATTGTCCACTGTATTGAGTATGTAAGTTGCTTTGGTAAAAGTGTCTAACAAGAAACATGTATTATTATATGACAAAGTAGTTTACCAAGACAACCAATTAGCGGTCTTTGCGAGTCTACTTGGTAACAAGGGTTGACACAGCTAATATCCAAATACCGATCCTGTTGATTGGGTTGGGTTCCAGATGTCAACGTTGTAATTCGAAAAGATGCTAGACTTTAGAGGTCTGTATTGGAAAAGGGAGTTATCTGGGGGTTTAAAAAATAAACTGTATATTAGTCAGATGTAGAGATATAGGGGGAGATGGGAAGACATGTGGCTAACGGCCCAGGTTAGAACCAAGTCCGCTACACTAATGGCTTATCTGTTCCCTATAGTTTCAAATACTGACATATCTTCAAACAGCTTATACTGCTCACTCATTGGTTTTAGCTCTTGTAATGCATAGTCCACGAGTTGGCCCAAGAGGAATATCAGCTCTCGTTGTGTAATCATCCCAAGAAAGACAAGGTTTTTTTTTTGACACAAGAAAAAGAGGGAGAATTGTCAACCTCAGGTGAAATTATACATGCACCTCTCTCCAACTGCGATTGCTCAATAATTGGTGGAACATCCTACTACTCCGAGTGTTGGTTTTCTCTTTACGCATTTAAGACTAATCTCTTATCTATTGTGATTGTATCTTCAAGATAAGTCGTTTTCAGACTTTGACGTGCTGAGTTGCGTTGTCCCCCACTCTATGTTGTGATGAGGGATTATCTGTATAGCCAGGTTGGAGCCTGGTGACCCACATATTCCATGATCTGCAGCAGTACAGTGTCAGTGTGTGCTGACCAAAGACTCATGACCCTTCACCTCAATCCCTTGACCCCTCCAGGACGCTGACCTATAGACGCTCAGACTCGCAGGGCTGCAGTCTGACAGTAGTCTGACAATTATAAGTTGTTTTCTGACAGAAGACAGGCAGTCATATATGTAACATCTGGATTGTATCATTTCTTATGGCGACAGAAGGACAAATGTTGATATTTGTCCCAAGTAACTTTCATCTTATCTGAGCTGCATGCCACAGACAGACAGGGGGCTTTAAGCCTGTAATTGGCCTTTCCCCGGGGTATGGAGCCCGTCCCCACATCCCAGACATTCCCCTTATTCTCCATCTCTGCTGTGTCCCTGCAGCCCCCATAGTGACAGGCGGTGGGGGGGGTTACTGTGGTTTGCTGGAGATTGTAACAAAGGGGTGTGAATGACTCCGGGGCACTGCCCTATGATGTCCAGTACTGATCTTCTCCAGTTCCCCACTGTTTAACAGCCTCACATCTGGACTGACCTGGTCTGACCGTCTCCCCATCCATCCACCTTTAGTACCTCACTCTGCCCTCTTACTGCCCCAAGAGTGTCTGCTCCGAAAGCCCCTCAACCGTGGCGCAACACAGCTCCTCTCACAGAAAGAGCCACAGGAGGTTCATGATCAACTCCTGTCTGCCTCTTGACCAAGTGGCTTCTCTGCCTCCGTCCTATCTTCCTCCGTTCATCCCTTTTTCTCAAAACCACGCTTCTCTTCTAAATATGGCATACTGTATCTCTGTTATGTGTTCTCCAAATAAATGCTTCAATGCAACATACACACACGCATGTACAACATGAACTCTTGAGCTCAAAGTCAACACCACTGCTTTCTGCAACTTGAGGAAAATGCGGAGCTGGAAGAAAGTGGGCCGTATCAGAAGTTATTTACCTATCTCTTCCTTCCTGTGTTTAGTTGTAGAGGATTACAGTTGGAGAGGGGAACAGGGATGGAGTTTACTCCCAGGAAGACCCAGTAATAGCCCCAATCTCATGTCGTACCCCCCCCCCCTCGTTCGAGACGGCTGTGTTTACATTGTTCTGCACAGCTCAGGCCTAATGTACTATCTGTTTAATAGGCAGAGAGAGGCCTGTTTATAGAGAGGGACCTTTTTACCAGAGGTGATGGGCTGGCAGGCCAGAGGGCAAGACTAACTCATCTCACTTCCTGTTATCATTACCTCTCTTCTCTCAGACAGATAGGTGCTTGGCTCGCTCCACTCTCTGCATTACTTATCCCTAATCGCCTCGCCATCCTGCTGGCTATGATTGTGCTCAATCTCTCTCCCATGGAAAATGGAGGAACACAAGGAGGCTCAATCAAGTTGCCTCATATTAAACTTTCGTGGCTCCACTTCCTTAGCTCA